TGGATAAAGAAGATGTGATACACACACACACACACACACACACACACACACACACACACACAGTGGAATACTACTCAGGCATAAAAAGGATGAAATATTGCTATTTGCAGCAATGTGGATGGACCTAGAGAATTTTACTCTAAGTGAAATAAGTCAGCCAGAGAAAGATGAATATTGTAATGATCTCACTTAATACATGGAATCAAACAAACAAACAAAACAAAACAGAACACCAAGCTCATAGAGACAGAGAGCAGATTGGTAGTTGTCAGAGGGGTGGGGGTGTCGGGGTGGATGAAATGGGTGAAAGGGGTCAAAACGTACAAACTTTCAGTTATAAAATAGGTCATGGGAATGTAATGTACAGCATGGTGACTATAGTTAATAACATTGTATTCATTATTTGAAAGTTGCTAAGAAAGTAAATCTTAAAAGTCTTCATCACAAGAAAAAAAATTTTTTTGTAACTAGATGTGGTGACAAATGGTGACTAGACTTATTGTGGTGATCATTTTTCACTGTATACAAATATTGAATCATTATGTGATACATAACTAATATAACGTTATATGTAAATTTAACCTCAATTTTTAAAAATAGAGAGAGTGAGAAATTGTATCCTCCTTGCTACCCCTGATTTTACTGGTGGAAATCAAAGAACTAGTGGGTGGGGATAAGACTGTGTATCTCAGGACTCCCCCAAGGGCCCTGGAAAGTGTTGATTTGGCCAACGCCACAAGTAGCCCCAACGCTCAATCCTGACTCACCGACAGTGATTCTCAGCTTAATCAATGTTTAAAACAACCACTGAATGCCATAACTAACCATCATGTCAAGGAGACTCCTGACCATACAAACTCTTAGCCAATTTATCAAGGTTCGTGCATGCAGACCAATTCAGAGGCAAACGGAAGAATGTATTCAAAAAATTCAAAAACAGTTTCACCTCCTCCAACAAACCTTCCTTCTAGGGAGAAAAGGCTTTAGTCATAAGAGTGTCTCCATCATTTTCTTCAGCCCAAGGACTGAGACTGTGAGGAGACAAAGGAAGAGACGAAAGATGGGGCTGGATATCCGCAGGGGAATATACAGTCCCCGAATTGGGGGCAATTGGCTCATTAATTCCCAAGCACTGAGCCTAGGATGGATTGACTTTGTTTTTCTAAACCCTGAGAACAGTGGTTCTTAAATTCTTGGGAGGGCAGGATACCCCTTTAAGAATCTGGCAGATGCACAGGCAGGTACCTAAGCATGCCGCAATGCCTTTCCCAGCCCTTCCCAGCCGTGTGGCCTTTGCAAATGCTCTTCTGCTTGGATCAGACAGGGATGCAGGAGAGGGAACACAGCAGGCTCTGCAGGGGGACTCTTGGCTGGAGCTGGTCCTCGTGTGATGAGATACCCCAGGGAGACCAAGAACCCAACTGCAGCCACAAGAGGCCAGGGGGCAGGTTGACTCCAAATTAGGAAGCACCTTAAGAATCACACTCAGATGCAAATGTCTTTTCTTTGCTCCTGGGGAAAATAATAGGCTATTCCCTAGGGATGGGGGAGTGGGTGTGTTGACAACTTCAAGCACAATTACTCTAATTTACAATTAACTAGGATGCTTGTCTCTGCTTCAGTCTAAATTAGAATATGGCCTGTGTTGGGCCCAGCCCTGCAGAACACGGGGTACGCAGGGGAATATTTCAACTCCTTCCCCTTCCAAAGGTTTTACAGGCATACCTGCCGTCGGGCAGTTCAGAAGCTTGTGCGGCAGTGAATGGGGTTGGTGAAACCTCGGCTCTGCAGGGGAGGGAGAAGTGTCCTCCACCCTCTGGGGCTCCCTGGCTGGGTCTCAAAGTTAAACTGGCAAAACAGATTAACAGGAGAAAAGCACCCGCATTTTACTGAATTTTTACATGTCCATGGGAGCCTTCACAAGACAATGAAGCCCCAGAGAAGGGACCAGAGCAGAAAGCTTTTCTACCTTTTAGATAAACAGTAATTTGTCAAGAGTTGACAAGACAAAGGGGTTTGGACTGGGGTGAACCACTGGTGAAGAAGTAACTAAGAGGATAAGGGTTAGTTTAACAAGGTTTGTTTATACAGCCTTCTTGGCCCTAGGCTCCCCACCACTGGTCAGAAGAACGTCTTCTTTCCTCCTGGTGCGAGGAGGGCACTTTTCACTTGGGAGATTTATGCCCTGTTTCAGGGAAGAAGGGCTAGTTGGGGAAGGTCAGAGTGACCTTCTGCTGTTTTCTCAAACTCCTTCAGCTTAAAATAGTCAGTACGCCAAGGTACCATATTTGGGGGTAGCAGTCCTGAACCCCAGCAGCTCAAAGGTGGAAATGAGGAGGGCCACATCCAGGGCTCCCTGTGAACTCTAACAGCCTGGCCTCCCCTAAGCCCTTCCTCCAGGCTGCTGAGTGTGCTTACTGTCAGAGCAGGCACATAACTAGGTATGAGCAGAGAAAGGGGGACGCAGGACAAATGGCAGGGCAAAAAGGCGGGGCACGGGGCCAAATGCAGGAAACCCTACATCAGGCAAACACCAGGGGTCCCTGGGCAGAGAAGGAAAAGCAGGAACCTCTGGGTCATACCTTTTGGGGTGATAAGTGGCCTAGAGGCAGACAAAAAAAGGTGGGAAAAGGCAGGAATCTCCAGTGTCTGAGTGTAACTTTTTGCTCATTCATGCCCTCATTTCAATAAAATTAGCCTTATGTGAAGTTCCCCTCATGCACCGATGACATGACACTTCCGATCTAGACTAAATAAGGACAAAAATCCCTCCTCCCTTTGGGAAGGTGGAGCTGGGATGATAATCAGGAATATGACCCCAAACCCTTTCCTCCCCAGTGAATATTCTGAGCGTTCATTTTTGCACTGTATGTAACCAACTTGCCAAAGAAACTCAGGGCAGCCGCTCAGCTGAGCCTGCCCGCTTTCCCCTTGAGAGTGTACTATCCATCCCTTAATACGTCCCCACTTTACTTTCTTAACCTCCGTGTCTTGTCTCTGAAGTCTTTCTGGGATGGGACAAGAACTCGGACACCCTTTACATCTACCAGCAACGCTGTGAGCATGTTTAACGGCGGGGAGCAGAGCAGGTGCAGGGGACCCCACCCAACCTGGCTGCATATTCACTCCTGACTGCCGGCCACAGCCCAGCTCTCTGAGGTCAGTAACACTTTGGGGTTGTTTCTTTTTCTTTTTTTTTTCCCCCGGTCCAGCCAGTCATCCATTTCTACCTAATCAATATGATTAAGTCAGTACGGAACTACTGGGCCCACATCCTTTTTAATTCTTTTCCTGTGAACTGGTGAAAACTACTAAAAGCAGAGGTTAAGTGCCCAAGGACTCGGTAACTAGCAAGCATGTTGGGGGGAAGACAAAAATCTCAACCTTCAGAGCCTTACTCAGGGATTCCTGCTTGAGCTTTCTTCCTGGGGACGCATTCCCTTCCTGAAATGAGGAATTCTGGTCCTGAAGTAAGGGCTGAGTGTTGCCTTTGGAAACTGGAGCTTTTACTGAATTCCAGGCTAGGATCGAATTTCTCAAGAGTAAGCTGTTTACGTCAGAATGGGTTGTTTGTTAAGAGAGAACAACAGACCACTTCTCTAAAAACGGGCTCCTGTCCGGCGAATCCCCCGTGGTTGGTACAGAAGTGGTCCTTCCAGAAGCAACATTAGGAAAACCACTGTGTGTAAGTAAGGTCCTGCATGGGACAACCAGGGTAAGACAGAGGTGGAAGGTGGGGGAGGTCTGTGGTTACTGGGAAAGGCAGAGTCAGACACGCAAATGAGGGGGCGAGTAATCTACCGTCAGACTCCCTTAGGAGAACGTGGGGTTTGTTTGGAATAAATACGTCAATAACCTGCTTTGGGAGATGGGCTCAAAACTTGAAAGACCAGTAACCTTCACACAGTTATCCCCATATGAATACAGCTGGTTTTTACTTTCGTCTTTTTTTGACAATTAGCAGGACCGAGAAGGATTATCCATCAAAATGCAAAGAATAATGATGACTCAGGGATAGGGATGTCATCAGGGGTTTTTGGCTCCTTTTGACAGATTTTCTAGGATGTGCTTACATAAGAAGATTTGTTCTGTAGCAAACCAAGACAGTGAAGGGGAGAGCCCCCCACCCCCACCCCCACCCCGCGGCACAGGTGACCACACACTCACCGTGAACACCTTCTCCGGGGCCCCCTTAGCCCTCATGTTGGTGTCGTGGACGTGCTTGAGAATCATCCAGGCTTCGTCGTGTTTGCCCATCTGGTGAAACCAAGGGAAGAGACATGAAGAATCCTTTGCTGACTAGGGGTGGAAAAGAAGGAATTCAACAAGGAGGATCAGTCTGTAGAAAGCCTGAAGGAGGCACGTGGGTGGACTCTGAGCACTAGGGCTGTGAGAGCCTGCGAGTCCTACGGCCCCTCCGCCAGCCCTGCCCATCTGACCACCGCAGGCAGGGAGGCTCCCCCAACGTCGGAAGCCTCGCAGGACTCCAGGAGCAGCGTTCTGGAGGGGAGCGGTCCTGCAGAGCTAACAGTCATGACGGGTTCAGGAGCAGTGACAGCTTTACAGCGCATCGCATGGCCATAACATGGAAGAACTCCACGCATCTTTGAAAAGCCTCATCGTCGGAACCTCTGAAGAGAGTGGGTGCAGGCAGCAGCCCCAGGAGGGCCCCATCCAGCTCCGCCTAGCCTCGGGGAGCAGTGCTGCTGCCCTGGGCTCAGTGGGCTCCTGTGTCCCTCCGGCTCTGGCAGTCTGTGAACCCCAGGCACACAGCCGTCACAAGCAGCAATGGAACCGGACGTAATGACAGGTCAAGGCAGCCGACCTGGGACAAAGGGGCTGAGACAGCAGGCTAGCTCCTGTCACCGTCCCATCACTCTCACGTGGGGCCAGGGCGCTGACTCACCTCTAGCAGAAACCTCGGGCTCTCTGGCATGAACTTCAAGGCCACCATGGATATGGTGCAGGGCAGAGCGCAGACGATGACAAACACTCTCCAGCTGTGGAAGTGGTAATTGGTGCCCATGCTGAAGCCCCAGCCTGTGAAGGAACAGGATTTCTGATGCACGATCTTAGAGGGACCATAAAGAACTGGCTCTCGAACTACAAGAGCATCACTTGGGGAGTAAGGTAATAGGCAGACTTTCCAGCTATGCCCCCAAAGTGTCTGATTCCGACAGGCTCTTGGAATCTCCATCTTGTCAACCCTCTAGGTAGGCCTGGCTGGACATTTATGGGGCCTTGGGTCAGGGTTGAAAAAACAGGCATCACTCCATATCTCTATGTATCTATTAAAATTTCAGCTAACAGACTGATAGATGACAGATGTTCTAATGCCCTGCCTTGACAAATAAGGAGCTGGAATGCCAGGCCCAGAACTGTCCAGGACCCACTTTTATAGGACCCCCTTCTGTCCTCACACCAGCTCCTCTTGCAGAATGAGGGGCCTCCTGCCAACAGATGCAGTCACTCCACACACCACCATGGTGACAGTGGGTGTCCTTGTCATGATCCCTCGAGTTTAGGGGGGATTCCTAAGTCCTAAGTACCCAGAGTGTGATCTAGCAGTCAAACTCAGATGGAGAAGAAGGGTTATGTTTAGAAAGTATTCTACCTCTGAAAGATTTTGTTTTCTTAATATGTGCAGATTATCCAAAATCCATCATTCCCTCATGCGTCTATGGTTTTTATGGTGATTTCAGTAATCTGCACTTAACACATTCATTAGGTACATCTTTGGGCCTTAAGTTAAATAGAATTAAACAATGAACTGCTTCCAAATATATGAAACAACGGTTAATCTGGATACAGGGATTGTTCTACTCAATGATTTTTTTAGCTTGCCCTACTTTTCTCCATCAGGATTTCACAAGCAGCTGCTGGTGCTGACTACAATGGGAATTAATCTTCCATAATATATCCTTTTTTTTTCCTGGGCTGTGCCCCTGAGTTCCCAGAAAAATATTCTGAGTTTTGTAATTTTCTTTCTCAATGACTCAGTCACCCAAATTCCTGGTGCCAAGACCTCCCATCACTTCATTCCTGCAAAGGCAATTAAATGGGTTGCACAAGCTGTGTACAAACATCAGGGCTCCTCTCTGGATTACCCTTGCCTTTGTCCCTGCTGAGTGGAGGGGGCGTGAGGGATTAATGTCTTAGGCCTGTTGAGAAATACCATCAAATGTCTGATTCACTGTGGACAAAACATCTGGTCCTGGTAAAATGAGGTTGAAAATAAATAACCACTCCTCTTACACTGTGATTCCAGTCCACCACATCTCTAGGATTGGTTTTCCCCAAGCTAACGCCTGTTTCAATTAAGCCTAATCATCCGAGAGGGTGGTATTTTTAAATGGATTGTAAAAGTCACAGATTTTATACATATGGAGTAAAATACTCAACCACAAGCCCTGCCATCAGCCAGCAATGGTCAGCCAGCAGCCATACG